GGCCGTGCCCACAGGACCTCTCGGTGGACCTCCGCTCAGAGGCCGTGCCCCTAGAACCTCTTGGTGGACCTCCACTCAGAGGCTGTGCTCTCAGAACCTCTCAGTGGACCTCTGCTCAGAGGCAGTGCCCTCAGAACCTGTCGGTGGACCTCCGCTCAGAGGCCATGCCCCTAGAACCTGTCGGTGGACCTCTGCTCAGAGGCCGTGCCCCTAGAACCTCTCGGTGGATCTCCACTCAGAGGCCGTACCCTCAGAACCTCTTGGTGGACCTCCGCTCAGAGGCTGTGCCCTCAGAACCTCTCGGTGGACCTCCACTCAGAGGCCGTGCCCCTAGAACCTCTCGGTGGACCTCCACTCAGAGGTCCATTCTGCACTGTGCCGTCGGTAGTTTGTTCTCAGTAGGAAGATAACTGTGGGCTGTATCTTACCTTCACCTAGGTGCATGTCCACATTTGAGGATACGGTTTCTACCTCACAAAAAACCATCCCCCTCCTTGAAAAACAGACGGTTGTCTAACACAGCGTTTGATGCAAATATAATTTGAATTCAGAATACATACTAGTGTGACCAAGAGCCTTACTAGCACATCTCTGAGATCGTTTACCCGACAACGTTACACTTCGGCAGTGAACTCCTTTTTTTTTTACTAGATTTACTCGGCCTTTTGTGGTGGGAACGTTGAGAAAGGCATTGGAATATGGGAAGAGCAGTCCCTGGGCACACCTGCCAGCTGATGTGTCAGTTTAACTGGAGCTGATTTCCAACTGGGAGTGGCAGCAAAGTCATGGTGCTGAATCCACATGTGCCCAGTGTTGGTTCTCTGTTGATGGTTCCTCTGGCAGTTGGTCAGTTTTATATCTGTTCAGCAGATTCATTTCGGCATTATTGATTCTCATGTACGCGTCTGTTCTCAGTTCTCCCTCAGACCCGTTGGAACATCTTACTGGGTCCCTCACCAGTTAATTGAGTTGAATAAAATCCTTGACATCACTTCACGTTATGTATGGGCATTTGCTTTTACCTTCTTCTTAAAAAAAATATCCTTCAACAAATGTACAACCTAAGTGAGACTCTGTGACCTGTTTTTTTGTTTTTGTTTTTTTTTTTAAAGCCAAACAGCACTCACACTGTAAAATATCGTAAGGGAAACGTTAGTGTCTTTGTGTGCAGCAAACGGAAGATCTCTGTGAAATGAGCACTTGTTGGATTCGATATCTCCTTCTTCCAAAATATGTCTGTTTTCTAATCCTTAAGCCGTTTTGCATGAAGAACAGAAAGCGCTCTCATGCTTCTCTCAGTCACGTAGCTCTAGATCGGCGTACGCTTTCCTGTAGGGTAAATTTGATCTCAAGTACGTTCTCTTGTTGTTACAACTAAGGCGAAATGCTGCTTTTTTTGTACAAAGGAAAATACTGACGGTTAGCCAAGGTACACGTGGTCTTTCTTATTCTTCTACATCAACCTCGTTGCCCCAGTGCCTCTTTGTGATGGCCTCCCGCTAGCAGCCCATCCATTTCACAGAGGAAAAATAAGAATGCCAGTTTAGACCACGATGACTCCTGCCAAGGAAGTTTGGAGAGTCGCTCTACTTTCTCCCTGCATTAAAAGTGTGCTTTCTTGGGGACGTGCGGGGATGAGGGGCGGATGCATGGTGTTGCCCTAGCGGGCAGCTAGCGTTTGCCCATCCCCTCCACCTCCTCTGGAAGCATTTGGTATTGACAACAGCCCCTGAGATGTGGTACAGTCAGTCTTTTCTTAATTCCTCTTCAGTGAAACATGCACAATTTTAAGAACGTACCAATGACTCCGTTTTAGGGTTTTTCCACCCAATACTCCCTCGGTTGGAGTTCAGTGAGCTAACGGGGAGAGAGGAGGTCTGGAAGACCCCTGCTTTATCCCAAGGAGACCTGCCTTGTCAAGACGTACGGATTGTCTCTGCCCTGCAAACAGTGGTCCGTGACTAGCCGCTGAACTTCCTGTTCCTTTGGTTATATTGGTCGGACTCTAAATTGGCCATGCTTTGGACGGTGTTACTGATTTTTGAAAACAAATTTTTAATCATAACCCAGTTTTATCATAAAAGATACATGCATTAACTCCTCTTCTTTATGCCAGGTACCCTCTTCTGTTCCACAGGATATAATCCCCACCTCCTTGGCCTCACATGGCCGCTTTCTGACCCAAGTCTATCCCCAGCAAAACAAAGGATTTCAGATTACGTGGAGTTCAGTTCAGATCCCAGCTGCACCACTAAAACGTGTGGCCTCGTCTTGCTTCACGTCGACCTAAGATTCCTGACCTGTGAAATGCGGGTCATGCCCACTCTGGGGTGTCGGTCTGAGGAATGGACTGACGTCACACGTGGGACGAGACTCCTGCACACAGAAGGGATGGTTTCATGAATGGCACTTTACAGTCACGGTTACAGGGCCTGTGGTACTCTCCAGTAGTTTTCGTGGTTTGGAGTTACCAGGTTTACAGAGGACCTGAAAACCAGATCTTCAGGACACCTAGAATGATTCTGGTTCCTGGTGAATCTCTTTCATAGTATCTTGTGCACATCCATTAGCACTTTTATGTCCTCCATTAGCCACAGGATATGTTTACTGGTTGTACCGTTTCATCAGAATAACTCCTCTGTTAATGCAGAACCAAGTAAGACCCTATCTGAGGGTATTAACACGTCTGCAGAAGGGGGGATGTAGAAAAGGGAGGCTCACACCCAGGTCATTGGGTGGCCTCACCTCGTTTGATAGACCCTCGAATCAACGAACGTTTTCTGTGCATCTTTTGACCCACGTGGTTTCCGAAGGACTAAATAGGTACTTTTCCTGGTTCTGCACAGAACAGCAGGTGCCTGACACAAACTTGTTCTGGAGACTGTCAGACTATCCCATTAGTATTAAGGCATTGCATGGAAGCATTGCTTTTTGTGGACCAAAACCCACGATTGCTGAATTCTACGTGTGTCTCTCCAGCATCGCATATGAAATGAGTATTTTACATCAAACGACTGGCAATTACTTACCACAATGTTAGTGATCTATTTCTCTAGGGCATAAAAATCTTAAAGAACTATTTGAATATCCTAATGTTTTCCAGTTTCTTCACAAGCATGAGGCCTTGGAAACATGCCATCAAATACATCAACTTGCTAAAATCCTTGTCAAAGAGACGGGGAATTCATATGTTTCACAAAGTCACTTAAAATGGCACATTTTCAAAATCCACTCTAGGAAAGAGAGGGTATGCATTCGATACTCAAAGTCTTACTAAATTATGGATAGATATTTAACTAAACAGTCGTTACTTTTCTGAAAGTCATGTCAGTTCCATAGTTGGTGGTGAAAAGCACATTCCATGTAAAAGTCAGAAACAAAGAAGGAAATCCAACTTCTGAGTAAACTTGTATCATTGTTCTAGAAATCCCAGTCAACGAGTAGCCACATCGAGTGTTTACATCGGTTTATTTGATGATGACACATTATCCCAGTTATTGGTCTAAACATGTCTGTCTCGTGACTTTTTAAGGGTGTCTTCACTGGATATTGAATTGTGGTTTATAATTGTAATTTCCTCTTACCCTTTAAAGATAGCTTCTGTTATCTGACATCGTTTTGACTAAATTACCTACGTCTGAAAGCCATCTGTCTCCTTCGTTCTGCGGCTGCCAAGATTTTGTTCATGGTCTTTGGCCTTCCGAGCAATGGCTTGCTTTGTTTTGATCTTGTGTGGACGTCGTACATCTCCCTGAATCTGTGGCTTGCCTTAAATATCACGAAACTCCTCAGTCATCACCCAGGCTCGCCTCTTGGGATCCCTTCCATATAACCAAACACAGAGGGCGAAGTCTTGGCAGTGCCTGTAGTCAGTGAGTCATGCCCAAGCCTGGGGTGTGCCACCAAGGAGTGGGCTCAGGGACCACACAGCTTGAGTGAGCTGGTAGGATAGCTGAGAAACCAGGGCCAGCTGGGCCTTGGGGAAGATTTGGAATCAGAGCACACACGCCTAAACAGGATTGGGATTCTAACGTAGCCCGGAGGCCAGGCACAGTGAGAGCAGCCAGGAGAAGTCAGCCACCCAGAGTCAAGTGTACCAGTCGTCAGAATTCCAGGGAACCAAGACAGCCAAGAGCCAGGGATCTACAGATGCCCGTGTCCCTGGAGGGAACCCTTCCTTCCTTCCTTCGCCTCTGCTCTGTGGGTACATGCTCTGCGTCTTCTCTGACAGCACACCCAAGACCCTCTGGGACCCCATACAAAAGCGCCTACCTTGAGAAGAAAGGCAGAGAGCCAGATAGTTGCTGAAA